TATGGAGCCCCTAAGATTTGAAGTCAAACTAATGTAACTAGTGTCATGCGCAGGTAAACGTGAATGGCAATATAGGGATTAGTTTAGATTATGAGTCTCACTGATTGAGATTTCAGAGATAGGCGCAAACTTTGCTTTCCAATCACAAAGCAAGCGAGCCAAACCTCTTCAATCCAAGAACATTTTCTCACTTAACTGAAAACTGGCTTAAAAAGATATGGCAAAGTTTTTATTTCGTTATCTTTGCCTTTAAACAGGGTTACATTTCACTTTGAATCCCGCTTCATGTCCAAAACGCGAACTTGTTTTCTCACGTGATTTACTCGTGGCCAAATTGACGAGTCCAGTCATCGCGAATGTGATGTCCCACGTGACGCTGGCAAACGGTTGTCACTACTGGAAAGTCAGGATTGACCAGTTTTCTGGAACCGGTAATAACGGGTTTGTGGCCGTGGGCGTGGCTAAGGAGCTGGACGATGGAGGTGTTATCGGTAAGATGATAAAAAAACGTTTTGCGTGTCGCAAATGCTGTTAAGTTAAAAATTGACTCAAATGAAATGGTAGGTTTTAAGCAAAGGAAGTACAGGAATAACGTTTTACCCACCAAACAGTCGATAAAAATGATCGAGGCTTTAAGTTAGGTTTCTTATCTGCAAAAAGTTAACAATAGTGATGCGACAATCATATCAAAAGTCAAATTATTTCATTTCAAATAGAAATACATCAAAGATTTACAGTAGATCTTTTATACACCTTCTATTTATCTTTGCGATATACACGTAATTTAAAATAATTCAGTAAAACTCCCCTTAATGTCACCGATCACAACGTCTGACCAGAGCATATATCATCCTCTTCCACTTCAGGATAAACGGGAACAAGTGCGGCTATTTGACTGTTTTACTTGTGGGTAATAGTTCTTGAACTGATTATACTTAACTTATTTTTATAAGGAAATGACACAAACTCATACGCTCTACAAATCTACGAGAACAGTACTCTGTGGTGTGAAAATAGTCCCAACAGACTTCAAATCAAACAGAAGGCCAAGGAAATAAAAGGAAGCAACGTGGCAGTGTTACTGGACTTGGAAAATCAAATGATGAATGTATACTGGAACGGCAAACTACAGACCGACGATTCCCGTCCAGGGGGACCCTCTCTGATGGGCGTGGTTGGACCTGTGAGGCCGGCCTTTACTGTATATGGAAGTATTGTGCAGCTGAGCTTACAGACTGGAGTGGAAAGACCAGCTGCATACCCTGGTAAGATATCACTTGCGGTGGTCCACTCATTAAGGGGGCGCTCTTTAGACTTCAAAATGGTGCCCTCCTTTGAGGTGCCTCCTGATAAAAGTGCCCTTTCGATAGCGGTAAGGAACATAACTACTCATTGCGAACTTTTTCTGGTGGACAAATAATTGAGTCCCGTATGGGGGTATCTAGCGTTTATGTTTCTGGCTTCATAGACATCTATAAGATATTCTTACAGTGCTTTTGAGCTTTTTCAGAAAATTTGTTTTTACCCGATTAAAATTATACCGGTGAATATTCTTTTCCAGAACCTCCCGTTATTCACCTCGAAGAGTGTAGCGTGGAGAACACCAGAATCAACCTTGTGTGGTCTCCCCCAGATAACTGCAACGTGGATTGTTACATCGTAGAGATCGACACCCTAGATCGGGAGGGGGACATCCATCAGGAGCGTAGCTTTACCAAAGTGTACCAGGGACCGCGCACCAAGCACACACTTAGGGGATTGGACTATAATGTGACAGTCCTTGCGCGTGTCAAAGCCTTGAATACCGCTGGCGAAAGTGAACCGAGCGATGAAGTGTCACTATCGACTGAAAAGGGTAATTGGAATTAATTTCATATTTGTGTTTAGATGCGACGGTAAAATCTCTACATCTGAGATGAATCTTCCTTCACTCCGTAATTAATAAGGAAACGTGAGTAAATAGGGCAGAAAATTCTAATATGTTTAACGACTTCAGTGTTTCTTCAGTGATCTATTTGAGCTTCAGTTTGGGTTTGGAAAGATAAACTTGTCGTAGAGAAATAATTTTAACAGCAACTCCTTCATGGGTAGATACAAAACATTTAGGAGACGCGTTCCGTATAGTGATCTGTCAGCGATGTTGAAACTATTCTCTGTGAATTACGAGAAAAAAGAATGGTAAAAACTAAGCGGTTGAATAGAGAAACCTTGCAAACGTTGAAAATAAGAGTGTACAAATTTGGGGTGATTAGAACATTGTGTCATTTCTTCTCAGTATCTTTGAACACAGCTGCCTTATTTTCAGGTGTTATTTTCAAATTGGACAAAGAAACTTTGCACGAATCACTTCGCTTGTTTGCTGGAAATGTGACAGTTAAACAGAACAACATGGTTCACGGAAACACGTTTGGTACAGCGTTCCTGGCCGATGGCTGCCACTTCTGGACGATTAATATTGACAGTTTTAAAGGGGAAAATTCTTTCCTCGCTGTTGGTAAGTTACTTAGTGATAAGCATTAACATTATGTGAAAACCTCAGAGTTAGTTAGTACTACATAATGGTAATAGGACCAAGTGGAGTCAAATTCTGTCTGTAAACATATACGTGATTAACAAAATCGGACGACTGCGAAGCGGGAGTCCGATTTGTTAATCATGAGTATGATTACAGACAGAATTGGACGACAAGAAGTCCTGTTACCAATTAATCATAACCATTTCAATTTCCGGGCAAAAACAAATACACCTAGAAAAAACTATCTCCTGTGGAGACAATGTCTTTAATAAAAAAATTCCTCCATTTTGGAAATTCCCCAGTTTTTGTTTGGTTGGTTCTATTGTAAGTGGTTGTTGCTATGGTTATTTTGATCATTTCTGTGATTGGTGAATTGGCTGATTGGACTTAGTATGATTGGTTGCTTCAACTGTCTGATTACAGGTGTCCCACTACAGCTAACTGTCCGATTACGACTGTACAGCGAATACACCATTAATATTTGAGAAATTTATCATGGTTATCATTAAGTCAGAATTAAGATTCAATCAGCAGATGCAATTACAGATCTTGGACAAATTGCTATTAAGCGTCAAAAGTATCCGAAATTTGATTGCTTCTACTTCACTTCGCTCTCTGATATGTCTGGAAAATCATGTTATCTTCCGAACCAATCAAACGCAAAACTTAAATCACTCGGGCTTTGGTAATAGGTAGTTGACACAACGGGAAACGATTACCTAACCTGATTGGTTGATATATCAATATCTTACTTCTCATTGGTGAAGGCATATTACAAGGACTACAGGGGTTGTCTGGACCGGTGTCTCTAGTCCTAAAGGTTATCGAACGAAAGTCCAGATACAATTTTCTCTGTCATAACTTCAAAATTTTTTTTTTCATTCGCAGGAGTTGCCAAAAGGATTACCCAAGATTCCATTCTGGGGAACACATCCGGATCTTATGCCCTACAAATTTTCGAAGGCACAACAGCTCGAACTGAGAACGCCAAGCACAAGATTCAAATTAAACGAAAAGCGAAAGACCTGAAGGACAGCAGCCTTGGTGTTTTGATGGACCTAAACAATCAGTTTCTGAACATATACCTTGACGGGGAACTTCAGACAGACATTGGTCGTCCAAAGGGTCCTAGTTTTAAGGGGTTGAGCGGAGAATTCTGTGCGGCCCTGTGTCTGTATGGGACCAAAGTGGAGGTGACCATGGTAACAGGGATAGCCACTCCTTCAGTTCCAGGTAATCAGGGATGGTCTCACAAAGAGTCTCTGACTTATAACTGTGCAGACTTTCGCCCTTCAGAAAAAGGGCATCTACATAAATTAAGAGAAAGAAAAACCAACAAACACTTAGAGAATTTTTATGTTTGGAACAATGTGTTCAAAAACGCTGCTCATTTAGATGAACATTACAAAATACATGCCGAGGTGACAAGCCATTTGCGCTTTGTCATCTATCAGGAGCCCATCAAGTGAAGGGCTCCTGCATCTATCGAATGTTCGATTACCTCCACATTATGCTTCGACAATTTGCATACTGTCGTAAGGCTTTTTCTCATTCTCTTCGCTAGCTAAGATCTCTTAATCGTCAAGGGTTTTTCTGTCCACATACTACACCACTAGTTTCAAGAGTTACTCTGTGCACACAACCAGAAATTAAAAATTTAAATTGTAAAATTGAATGCAATTTCCCCAGTTCTCTATCCACACCCCCACCCCCTCCCCCACACTCATATCTCCCTAGAAAGGCTGATATTGGTGAGTGCCTTACTCATTAGCAGGGTGACCAATTCTTCATTTTTGACTGAATATTGTGTCCTCTAGGGTCACCGAGCGAGCACTGATTTTCACCAACCATGGTTTTTCTCTCTCTTTAGACTCTCCGGCATTCAACAAGGCCAGATGTAAAGTAAACAACACAACCGTGTTACTTGGCTGGCTGGCTCCTGAAACGAAATGTTGTGTTGATTATTATGTTCTGGAAGTGGACATGGTGAAAAGCTCCGAGTTTGCAACACGAAGAAAGAAGGATCGCAAGTTTAAACGACTGTACGAGGGTGCTGCGCGTGAATATGCGCTGTACAGCGTGCCTTACAGTGTAAATATCATTGCGCGCGTGTTTGGCGCGAATCCGACTGGTGAAGGAACTCCGAGTGAGGAACTCATTCTTTCAACGCCAACAGGTAGGTGTTGAGAAGCAACCTAGAGACGATAAATTAGTCAGTAAGATTGGTCCGTTAGTCGGCCAGAAACTCCGGCAGTCGGTCAGTTTGTCAGTCAGACGGTAAGACAGTCAGTCAGTCATTTAGTCAGTCGGTCGGTCGGTCAGTCAGTCAGTCAGTCAGTAGATCTGCCGGTCGGTCGGTTGGTCAGTCGTTCGGTGGGTTGGTTGGGGTGGGTTGGTTGGTTAGTGGGACAATCATTCAGTCAGTCAGACATCCGGTCAATCGGTCTGTTGGCGGACAGATAAAAAGACAAAGAGATACAAAGAAAGTCAAAGTAACGAGCGACATAGAGACCAGCAGGGCTACAGTTCGGGAAATTGTTTCTGATGGAACCCCCAAGAACCATTTAATCGCCTGGGGGTCGCAAATAAATCATCTTACGTGGAAAGTGCAGAAAGTCTTCGTGTTTGGTCCGCTGATTTCTTATCCGCGGTACTGAAATGAGTTTTTGAAAGAGGCGGAACTCGTGCGACATCTCGCCTTGACAACAGCTGTCCTTCAAAACCTCTACCTAACTCGAAATGTATTCCTCCCAGGTTTGTACTTCCAACTGGATCCATCATCAGCGAATCACGACTTGGAACTGACCAATGAAAATTGTACTGTGAGTCTGAAAAGTCCCGTGTACACTTTCATCCTGGGAAATGTAAAGCTTTCCTCTGCTTGTCATTATTGGAGAGTTCATGTGGATGAATTCAACTCTCACAACAAACTCTCCATCATCGGTAAGTGAAAAAAGAATCTATTTCTAGTACGTCACACAATCTCGAGGAGAGGCTTGCGTGACAAAAAACACAAGACCCCACTAAAAGACTTCTTTACCCCATCATAGGTTTAAACCACATCACGTCTACAGACCAGGAGGCTCCCGTGTCTTTCCTGGACTTAATATTTATTAGAAAGTTTTGAATTCCTCCTCCCTTTTCCCTGCCCCTTTACAGATCATCATGACACGGGGATAGAAGCAAGAATTACAAACTTCTTTAAATTAGGGTCTAGTGCAGATCTTTAGTCTCTACTGTTTAGATTAAAATCCAAAAGCAAGGTTTTTTGCAGTATATTGGTTGCCAAAGATGTCAAAGAGCGCGTGAAGAAGCTAAAGTCTCCTTTCGATTGCTGTCCGCTTTTTAAAAACGTCTGTGTATAAGTTCAATGAAGTCCAACATCACAGCACAGGGATCTTGTTCCCATAGAGGTCTGCATCAGATCTCATCGGCCTCAGTCCATATTTTCATACATTCATAAACTTTCGACGTTATCACCTATATTATTTTCTAAACCGATGCATTTTTCAATTGACAGGTGTGGGTGTCTCTCGAAAAGTTATCGAGGACCCGATCCTGGGCGAAGATTCTGATTCTTACGCCGTTCAAATCAACGAACATCCAAACGCTTCGTGTTCAAACACGAAGAACCGAGTGCAGATCAAGAGATCGTCAAAAGAACTTACCCACGCCAATATCGGCGTGCTGTTGAACTTAGATGATCACTTCTTGAATTTGTATCTAAACGGTAAGAAACTATGCCAAATGAGGGTAATAAAAAAATTGAATCAATGCCAGTTTCTGAGCAACTGCTCACCTTTTCTAACTTAACATTAACCCTGATTTGTTATCAGTTGATTTTTGTTGGTTTAGAGATGGGGTAGGTGCATAATTGCGTAGTTTACAATGTGCAAATCAGACTCATGAGAAAAGAATTTTGAGAAGGGAACTGAAGGTGGCTTTTGCGAAGAAGTGTTAATTTGTACAGAGTAGACACCACCCACTCCCCCTCCCTTCCCCTTCTGTCGTTATCATCTTGGTGGATGTTTTGACTATTTTTGCTTCGAGCCATGTAAAAACTAGGGCTCTTTCCTTCAGAAGTATAAAGCTATTTTATCGATCGCATACTTGCTGACATTACAGTCGGTGTCCTACATCAGTGTCTTAATCCACTGAGCGAACCTTTGTTAAAACAAATCACAACTGTTTCGTACCATCGGGAGATTTCTTCTCACGTAGCTTGGCCATCTTACATGTAATAATCAAACAAAATCCGCAATACGGAGAAAGATGGCGTCGCACTCGGAGCACTGGGTAAATGTACCGCTTTAGTCGAAGGTCATGTAAACAAACATGACCGCGGGTGGACAAAGTCGCGATGTAAAGCTAGATGAATATGACGTTCATGGTGCCATACTGAGCAAAGACGTCACTTCAACGCAATCCGATTGTGGCCACTTAACTTAAGATACCACAATAGAAAGAGTTATTCAAATCAAAAGTAATAATAATTTCCATTAATTCTTCTTTCTTCTTAGGCAAACTACTAACGGATCCATCCAGACCAAATGGGCCGACATTTGTAGGTTTATTGGGAGAGTTTTATCCTGCGTTGAGTCTTTACGGAACAAATGTTAAATTGACTGTTCACACCGGCGAGTCTTACGACGAGTGACCTGGCTAAAATGCAAATAGCGGAGTATCTTAAAGGCATGTGTTTCACACAACTGTAGTTGTGTTCACGTTTAATCAAGCAATTTTCGGATGGGAGTCGAGAGTTGGACGGAACTCGTGTCAAGTTCTCAACCAATCTAATACAAGACTAAAAGGAAAAACGTAAATTGGTTTTTCTCTTACGTTTTCAGTTCTCGAAAAGACTCTGAGTTCTCATAAGCTTCTTTTAATGTTTTCCTTTGCTCTGATTGGCCATCGTCAGCTCTTCAATTTATATTTATGTCATCAGTTTGAAAGCTCTCCCCTGATGAAGTCTTCCTAAAGGAAAACACTGCGCGCACCAAATTTAGCCGGAGGGAGGTCGAAACACTCAGCAAGCACGCTCCTACAAGGTATCATGATTTCAGAAACATTATTACAGCACAAACGTAACAAAGCTGCTCTTTTTACACGTAGTAGAAAACGGTAAAACATTTGTGCGGCTGAACTAAAAAATGATCAAGATTGCGGGCTCATTAGACACCGTTGATTAAAACCGACGTTTCGTTGTTTAGTCCTCGCCGAAGCTAACATAAGGTATTCCTTTAAATTAATTACTTGCAGGTCATAATGGAATGAATGGAAAATTCAAGTGTCAAGCTTCAAAACTAAGAAAACCTTCCTGCTCGTGTTAACCAGATATACTATAACAAGAACGCCAGAAAATCCCCTCTTGGCGGTATGTCGAAGAAGCGGAAGACAATTTCATTTCAAAGTCGCGCGAAATGATTTTGCCGGAAGACATCGCTCACAAATTGCGTTTAAGTTCACACTTTGTTGTATAGCATATTTCGAAACCTTAATGACTTTTATTTTGTTGCATCACTGTGAAAATCACTTAAGGACACTTTTAAGCATTCCTTCTCTATTTTTAGAAAGATAAAAAACTTGAATTCAGCAAAATCACAAACATGATGAATCGTACATCATCTAATTAAGTGCCACTATACATATCAAACAGAAACTTCTCAAGATAATTGAAAGCAAAATTGTTGAATAAAAGGGCACGTTTTTTAGAAACGTCAATTAATTATCCATTTTCTACGTGTGATTTGTAAATGAAACCTCGCCGGGTGATCCATCTCTGCATCTTGCGTATAGAAGGTGCAGTGATGGATTTACGATTAACTTCCCTAGCAACCAAATAACTGTTCCTGTAATTAATCATTGCAAATTTTACGATAAACAACACATTTACACAATACTATTTCAATTTCGCTTACAACTTTATTTTAGCTTTTGTGTCTAGGGATAAATGAAAACCTATTTCATTTACTGAATGGAAGCTTTTGAATAGTATCCAAGTGTGGTTCTCTTCAAATCAGTTTTATGCTTTACAAAGTGGTTCCAACTAAAGAATTCGTGAATGATACCCTAAAGTGCATGTGATCATTCATATGGAAGCTATTGGGCAATACCTTCGTGTGGTGCTGCATAACAAATTGTACCAGCTAGGAAGTTTTACTGATTTTCAAGCTTGTGAAGAAAGGCTCAGAGAGTTACTATTTAGATGAAAGCCATTTCTAAGCATTACCTTCACGTGGGATCCTTTATCATGGTATAGAAAGTGGTTTTTAAGCGGTCTGCCTCTGTGAATAAAACCCTCATGATGTGATCATATAAGAAAAAAAGCTTTACAAATTTTTTTCAATTGATGTTGCAAGCTGAACAAAAAATGCGCTGCAGACTTTAGCAATTCGTTAATTTTTCCAAACGTTAGCCAACCTATCATGCCAAGAGACTTGTGTAATTTCCAACCTGTAACTAGAGGCTAACAGAGTTTGAGATGAAAAAAATAGAACCGTAGTCAAACCAGAACCCTACAATTTTCAAATTCAAGTTTCCCTCAAAAGTAAACTTCGGTATTGCCTGATCATTTCCAATAAAGCCTGTCTCACTTCCTTAATGCGCCAATAATAAAGAAGAGGATTCAGTGATGAATTGAAGAATATCAGAGTCCCAGTGAAGCCTTCAGCGACTGCCCAAGTTTCTTTAGTCACCGCTTTTAATCCCGACACTATACTGTACGGGAAATAACAAGCCAGCAATGTCAAGTGAACCCAAAGCGCGTTTGACACAGTATTCTTGTAGCGCTTGACGCTAAGCAGAGAGTTTTTGTTTTTTTGTTTTTGGGAACAAGTGGTGCGAACTTTCATTTCTTGCAAACGAAGGATGCGGTAAATTTTCGCGTAGCAAAAAGTCGAAATTATCATGCAAAGAAAGATGCTCGATGCACTGAATATGTAAAAGACAAATCGCTCCCGAGACAACAGTGCAAGACCATTCGCAGTATTTAACACCCAGAAAAATATCACAAAACCACGAACACGTCTCGCAGTCACCTCTTGCCTGTATTTCATCCCGAGAGAGAGAGCGAGTAATCTGTCCACACTGATCAAGGTCAGTACAAAGAGAGACATTCCGCTTAAGATGGCACTGCTAACATAACTCGACCGCACAGTGAACTGAAAAATTGGCACATTTTCAACAAGAATGGAAATGGAGTGCAGGGTAGCTAATGGATGAGTGAAGAGACCAACGAACAGATCCGTCAAGGCTAGATTACGCAAAAGAAGTCTCGAAGGTGGATGAAGTAGAGATTCCTTTCGTAAAGAGAGTACAATCAAGATGTTTCCAAAACTCGCCGTAAAGAACAATACCATATTTAGACAAGCCAGTGCGATGAAGGAATTGAAAACGTATGGCGTAGTTTTGGAGCGAATAAACAAAGCCACCGTTTCATTTACCATCTTGAAAATTAGAAGCAGGTTCGCCCTGATTCGCAGACGATTTTTGTAGTTGTTGTTTTCATAGTAAAATTAGTCGACCCACATATTTGAACAGTTTTTGAAAATTTCCCGATAGCCCACCTCTGATAAACATTTCACTTTCAGCATGCTGCGGAGAAACGCACGTTTGCGAGGCAACCAAATTGAACTTTGTTACCACATCACGTCACTTCACAGCATGACACAGACGTGCACTGTAATTGGTCAAAATCTTTCATGGCACTTGAGTCCATATGCTTTTTTTTTCATCATATGGGGGCATTTTTTGACATCTAGGATAAAGTCAATTTATTTTTCTTTTTCACAAAAAGCGCGAGGTTATCGACTCGGAGATCGAACTAAGTTCGAATTGAAAATTATCCAAATTTTAACGCGTCGAAGAAAGGTTTGGAGCACATGGAAAACAAGGGGTATTAAAATGGGTTTTCAGAGTCAGGCTGTTGAGGTAAAAAGGAAAAAAAACTTAAAATGCCTCCCAGCTTTTTCTACGTAGTGGTCTTTCCCCAAAATTTTAATTTCCGCTAAGTAATGAATAGCATTTGGAAATGTCTTACCAACTCTCCATTTGTTGGCTTCATCTCATCAACTCTTCTGAGTTCTATGTTTAACTGTGAAAAAAAAGTATCGTTTGAATAATATTTTGGCAGCATTATTTAAAAGGCAGTGACAGCCATGATTTTAGCACAAGCAGATTTGTAAGCGATGGAGGTTTGAATAAAAAGAGAAGTTTGCCATTTGTATTGCCTTAAGATTTTCATTTTGGATTTCAAAGTTAGCTGGCGTTTGGCAAAAGTTTGGAAATTTCAACAGCAGTGAGATCGCAGGACTGGGCACCGAAGAATGGGAAAGGCTGATCAAAAAGAGGTTGCAGTGGTGTTTGTCTAAAAAGAAATGACTTGAAGGAAATCTTATGGACGGAAAAAGGGTTCTTTAATTCGCCTTAGATGCTATCAGGAAATTTTCACGACATCGAATTGCATTTAACGCGAAAATTTGATTACGATCAAAATTATCAATTTATCATAGTTCCAATACAATTTCGAACATGCCAATTGACAAATGTTAGCAAAGAGTTAATATTCCTTAAAATCATTGCATAAACTCTTCAACGCTATTAAGTTTTTCTCATTCACTAAACATTCTAATATTGCCTTTCACAGACTCAAATACCGGCATCCATTTCGAAAAAAGCCCTTAAACTTGCGGTTCACTCAACTATGCAGAAATTGCTAATACACTAGCAATATATCCAAAAGGATTAAAAAAAAAACGGTTTCAACAGTTTAAAAATAACAGCATTGGCCTCATTAGCTCGCACTCCAAACATCTGCGTTTTTTAAAAATTAAACCTTTCGTTGACGCGAAGCCATTCTGCAATAATGTCGTGGCTAAAATTAAATGTCGGTTGCTGGCTCCCTTTTTTGTGCCCTTTCAATTTTGCGGCCATAAATATTTGTCAGCAAATAAGTTAATTTAAAAAAAAAAAACGTTGTTAGTTCCGCCCATCAGTAAATAGCTTTTATGATGAGGTAAAGAAGATTAAATTAAAATTCATTCTCTTTATTTGCTCAAAGTTGCACTGTAAGGCCAGACGCGCGCAAGTTTATTCATGTCGCCATTTGTCACTGTTTGCTTTCTTCTTCTTTTTTTTTGTGCTTTCAGAGAAAATCTGATCCTCTCGTGTGATCAGGTTTTCTTTGTGAATTGCAGATAATCCAAACCAAGTCATCAGATTATGGATTTTTGTCAAAATATCTAGTCGTGGGAATTAAATCCTGGCACCTGAATGTTATTCAAATTACGATTCCATCGATTCATACGTTGGAAAGAGAAAAAGCCAAATTGTTGAAAAAAGATTATAAGTATCGATTGAATAACTTATATAAATGAATCTGAGGAGTAAGATCGCCATTACGTCTCTGGAAAACGGTCAACAAGTAAAACTTTTTTTCCGTTAACTCCTCGATTAATCAATGGAAATTTAAATGTGAATAAAAGCACCGAAATGGGAGCTCGCCACATTTTAGGCAACAGATGACGACAGGCACAAGTCAGAAGATCAAGGTTTGTTGTTACCACAGAAGTCATACTCCAGTTCGATCATTTGACTTACCGAAAGGAAGACATTGATGAAATAGGGACACGCCCACTCTTGTTAAATAACAGTAGGTGAAGATGTTTACCTTTTGGTCAAAGCATTGTCCCTATGCTCTATCTAAATGTAATCATTCCATGAATAAATGCAAGTCTCTGAAAGTGAAATAAAAATCAAGGAAGAATTTTAAAGATTACTTCGAAAATGAAGCTGCGACTCTGGTATTTTGCCAAAACGAAGGACATTTTCCGCCAGTTACAAAGGCACATTCAGACAAAAAAAATTCTGTTGCTGCTAACAATTGGCATACAGACATCAGTTTCAAAAATTACTCTTTTAACTGCGTCTAAAAGCAAAAGCAGTTAAGAATTATTATAATTTGCTCTTTGTTTACAAAAGAAGACGCAAAACTCAAGCAAGTATGTCAACTTTTTGAAATCACTAATTTTGGCTAAAAAACGTTGCTTTCCGCCACACCTAAAAAGAAAGAAAAAGAAGAATGATTCAAAGATTCAGAGTGGTCTATTCCAATTAAATGGCGAGTGATTTATGCTTTGTTTTTCATTAAAAATGAAGGTTATCACCCTAATTTCATTAAGAAGTGAGATAAAAGATATCGTTATGGTCAACCAAACGTCATGTTTCAAAGTCAATTTGACAAATTCTTGACAGCTTTCGCTCTTAAAATAAACCATCCCACCTATTTTTCGAGATCTTACTTCCTTTTATTTTCCATATGAAATGAAAAAGACCCTCAAATTAAGCTAGTGACAATTCGTCTTCGATATGGCGAACAACAACAGTGTGGCAACTCGACCGCCCTTGTTCCTTCTGGTCAAAAGTTCTCCGCATGTCTTCAACTCTTTTGTCGCTTTGTCTGTTTTAAATATTATCCTTTCCATCTCTGCCACTCTTGGAAATACGTTGATATTTATTGCGCTACGACGAGAATCCTGCTTTCATCCGCCTTCGCGCCTATTGATACTCAATTTGGCGATCACAGATTTGTGCGTCGGTCTCATCTCTCAGCCACTGGCAGCGCTGCATTCGATCTCTATTTTCACTGACCGTTTGCCTATCTACCAATTCACCGTGGAAGTGACCTACATCACAAGTGCAGTTCTAAGCGGAGTGTCTCTCTTTATTCTAACCTTCATCAGTGTCGACAGATTACTCGCCTTGTCGCTCGGAATGCGATACCGACAAACTGTGACTGCTCCGCGGGTCCGTAGATTTGTGATATTTTTCTGGGCGGTAAATATCGCAAATGGCTTTGCGCGATTCTTGAGGAATAGATATCTCTTCTATCTTGTTTGTCTCATAGGTATATTTACTTGTGTTATTATTTCCACGTTTTGCTATGCAAAAATTTGCCACACACTCTGTGCGCAGCAGGCAAAAATCCAGAACGTTTTAAACCAGGGACTTGAAAATAAAAACCCTCCAATGAACATGGCGCGGTACAAGAAAACCGTATCAAGCGCGCTTTGGGTTCATTTAACACTACTGATCTGTTATCTGCCGTACAGTATAGTGTCAGGGTTGAAGGCTGTTACTGGTAATGTCTGGCCTGTCGCCGAGGGATTCACGGCCACCTTAATCTTCTTCAATTCATCTCTGAACCCAGTGCTTTATTATTGGCGCATCAGAGAAGTCAGGCATGCTGTGAAGAAAACGATCAGGCAATATCGATATCGCAGCGAGCAAACAAGTGATACTGGTTTAGAATGAGGACAAGTTTATGGAAACTGACACCTTGAAAATCGGGTTGCGTGAAAAAAAGCACGAAATTGCTGCGGGAAAGCAGTTAACGCCCAATTTTTGAAGATCAATTACGATTTAGTAAGCTTAAGTTAATAGTAGGCCGAGAGAAAGTCCTTGTGCAGTGCCACCTTAACTGTGATGTATAGTCATAAAGCCATTTAGGCCGAAAGGGAATTAAACTGACGTCAGAGAAAGCTAGCTAGTTCAAAAATCTGCTTGGTTTTGAAGAACCTTACTCACTGAGTCGGTTATGGATGGTTATAAAAGTTGCAATTAGTTCAAACTAAAAAGGAAAAAACATCATGGAAAAGAGCATATAAATGTAGTGTGTATATATTTATATCCATTTAATTTGTAAATATGTATGACGGAAAAATTCTTAGTATCAATGAAAATTGATAACCCATAATTACGTGGACGATGAAAGATAAGGCTTATCCAAATACCATTGTAATTTTAGTCTGATTCATTAAGAATTATTAAATGAAAGCTTCCTCTAACCTTTCATTTTCCTCATTAATGCGAGTATAATAAATAACATTTCTAGGCAAAAAGAAGGTTCCAGTGAGGATTGGAAATCGGTCCGCTGGACACAATCACACTTTCTCAGTACATACATCCGGGCAAACGTCGGGCATGCGCGACGGGATCAAATCTGGCCGACCGTGCAGTAATTTCCCGCTGAGAATTTCAAAGGAACAACCAAAAAAAGTGAAAGAAAAAGAGGAAACAAAAGTAGACTTTGACACTTTTCGTGCACAAAGCCTATTCAAGTACAGATACACCATTCTGTTCTAAGATTTACCCAAAAAAATACGCTTTTTAAACACCGTGACTTACTGGTTTTTGTGGTTGTTTGTAACTCGTGTAAGACAACATGGTTCTGACAGACTGAAAGCAAGTCATTTAATCAGGCACGTAGTCATTACAAAGTTCACACATGCGCAGACGTGTGACCACTGTGTTATCCTTTACGTGTTACCCTTAGTATTTAACAAATCAATGATACCCAGTACTATCTCCTGAAGCCCGTCACTCGAAAATCCCGATAGTTATAGCTCCCGAGAGACTACTTTTGTTTCAGCGGGTTTACCTGTTTTAAGATTAAAAAAAGAAACAGAACTGACTTGTTTTCATAGCGAGGATCTATACTGCTATTGCCTATATTTCAATTTCTAAACATGGCCTCAGACTTGTGAAGTCACAGAGATTTGAGAGAAACAAGTCTTCATTGAAGGATCTTACTTAGGACCGACGCCAAAATATGGCCTCAGACTCGGAAGTCATCGAGATTTGAGAGAAACAAATCTTCACTGAAGGATCTTCCTTGGGACCGACGCCAAAATATGGCCTCAGACTTGTGAAGTCACCGAGATTTGAGAGAAACAAGTCGTCACTGTAGGATCTTAAGACCGACGCCAAAATATGGCGTCGACGCCAAAAATTACTAGACGCGACAAGAACAAGAGTCTATTCGAAGCGCAGTGAATCTCAAAGCATTTCCGAGAGTTGCGCTGAATGAGAACATAATTTATTAATCCATATCGGGAAACCGCCTTGCCTTCTTGAGTGCTTTAAAGTTAAAATTTTCTTGGCACTTACATGTATCTAGCTGGATATTGCGGTAATTCTTATTTCACTCTTTTTGCCCCTTCTAACTCTGGTTAGCACGCGCTATTTCTACAAAGTCCTTTTCAAAAAGTTTTCAGACATGTTTGCTTTTGTTTAAATTATGTTTGGTACACAGGACAGAAATTCCAGCAGCCCTTTGACTGCCTTCTAATCTTTTAAATACAGGAAAATAGAAGTGACAAAGAGAACTTCAAACGAAATCTGGTGCTTCCACACAATACTACATTTTCTTTCATTTAGCCTTTTCACTCCCAAGATCTGGTTAAACTAATTTTCCCATCTCGCTGCTACACATTTCCTTTTAAATTTTCTACAACGTGGGGTTATATCAAGGTAGCAATTTCTACTTGATAAGTTTGGGTATTCTCACTACTTGTCTACAAGATAATGTAGAGATATTTCAGGGAGAAATTACATGTAAATCACTACTGGGAGTATAAGGTTTAAGTAACAACAATAAAAGTGACATCTTAAATTCAAGTACATAAATTGCAGAGTTTAATAAAATCATATTACGGTTGGCCGAGGTGACCATATTGCTAAACAGGTGAAGAAAAATTTTTATTTCATTGCCCATAGGACCAAGGCAAGAATGAATCAAATTTGACAGTCTAGTGGCATGATTTCCTTAATCATATCAATTGTGAGACTTTGAAGGCGTATCTTGAAGTACAAGGTTAATATATCCTTTACACTTCAACACTATTATGCATCTTATTCATACTGTTCTCTATATATTTCCTGAGGTGCTGACAATGATAATTTGTTAAACAACCAAGAGCTTCTTTAGTTGGTGATCATTTCCTTTATTCTCATGACCTTAATGTTTGATTCAGGGTTGATATTGTGAGGAGAAATTAGATGTTAGTCACTTCTAGGGGTCAAAGTATTAAATAGAATCATTATTTAAGTACAATAACTCTGTGGATAGTCGGAGCAACTTAATTAGTGTCCTTTCATTTCATGAGTTTTCTTTAAAAACATCAACAAACATTTTGCAAGCTACATAGAAAATTTGTGCTTTGGTGTATTAAAATCACCTTACTTCATGTAACTAGAGTTTGGGCATCTTTGATGATCGATTCTTAAAGATCATGCATAGAGCTCTCAAACTTTAAAAGGAGAAGACAAATAAGAAAAGGCAAATTGTAACATTATGTTAATTTGTTAGATTACAGCAACAACCGAGGACTATTCCATAAAAATTTTCCAAGCATTCCACAAAATTTGCACAAACCTTGTTCCAAATTATTACTTAAATTGATCCATAGATATGAACCTGTCACAGAAGTTTACCTAAATGCATTTAATTGCACTCAAAACTGGGATATAACTGCTGTTTAAAATACTTTGACAGTATTTCAATAGTGCAGAGATCAATTTGAAGCTACAACACTGCCCCCCCTCCAAAAAAAAAAAAATTAACTCATTACCTTTAAACACCTGTGTTTTAAAAGATAAAACAAGTTTTATGGTTTAAAAACTTGTTGAACCAGAACAGTTAAGACTTGACTGTACTGGTTCAAATTTCCTACCCCCATGGGCACAGAAAACAGTCAAAAGCCTGTTGACCAAGGAAGAGGGAAAGGTTGTATCTTTGAATTGATTGGTGTATAACTGAATGAGTTTCATCCACAATTATGGTAAAATGAGGCGAAAGTAGCCAGCTAAAAGAAGCAGAATATAATGTAGTTTTGACTGGCTCTTAACTCTAATTGACAATTCTGGAGACATACATGTAACATTTCCACTTATACCATGAAAAAACAACATTTATTGTATTACTGTATTGATTATTTTGCCAGATAAAGTACCTCTAACAAAAATACAAAATGTTTTAAAGAGGCTAGAGTGACTTCATCTCAGAGTAAAATTACACATGCAAATAATGAATTCACAATTACTGACTGTCTCTTAGCCTGTTCCACAAGCTTGTTCCAAATGTTTGAAATGTTTTCTAGAAGATCCCTCAAAAAACTACAACTACAGCCATACACCAAAGTTTAACATTCCAAATACTGGCATTCATTATTGTTGTCTCAACTATTTCACTGGTTTTGCCTTTGTAAATCACAACAATCTTCATTCATTTTCTTTTTTTCCCAATGCTACATTGATTTTAAGAAAAAAGTGATATACTGAAAAAAAAGAAAAAAAAGAAAAAAAAGAAAAAAAAGAAAAAAAAGAAAAAAAAAAACCCTAAAAATAGAGCCTTCTAACTTGGAATCACCACACAAACCTTCATTTATTAACAACAGACATGTGTCCAAGAAGCTCACATTTACAGCAAGATTTATGGCACCTGCTTAACAGTTACTTGTCTGTTTGACTGTTGATTATGTAAATGGCTGCTTAGGCAATCTTGTTTACGACTGTAGTGTGAAGCGAATTTAACTGTGTGGTCCACCTATCCAGTCCCTGGAACCTATCAACACTCTGTGTTGTTCTGTTCAGTTCAAGAAGTTGATTTACCTGATCAATGCGGCCATGAATGGTATTGTCAAGTATACATTGTACCAGAAGGCTTTCCACTTCTTCTGTATCAATGTTCAACTCTTTGGATATAAATGGAATGTGGATCCGTGTGTATGGCTTAATCAGCTTGATAAGCACTTGTGTCCTGATGTTTCTTAAGAGATCTTCGATGTGTTCCCTGATAAAGGGATCATCCATTATGTTCTTGCGGTTGGTTTTGAGAATTTTCTCAAACTCATTGATATCATCATTCTGGTAAGCACTGACGAGATTTGTCATGGCTAGAATCTCTGGGTCATTTTTGTAAGGTTTTGCTTCCTGAGAGTCAAAAGGGTTGATACCAGATTTCATAAGCATGTTGGCCAGGACAAGGTATTTCAGGCAAGTTGTGCGCCTTCCACTTCCAGACTCATCATAGTTCTTAAAAGCCTCAAAGAAATCAGTGTGAGCTGCTCCATAGTCTCCCTCCCGTAAGTGCATCTTCCCGCCACACTCCCTGATCACCCCCATAATAAGTGGATGTGGAATAGCAGATTTGATGTGAAGGGACTGTTCATACAAAGCTTTAAGCTTCTTGTTATTTTTTTGAGCTGTGTACATCTGGATCTCCAGAGCATAAATTTCTAGCAATTGAGTTCCCTTCTTCAAATCATCTTCTCCTTCATCTGTCTGACAAGACTGATGCAGTTGTTTCAGGATTTTTGCCAGCTTGGTGAATTCCCCTCTGTCAAAGTACAACTTTCCTAGCTTTGTGTTTGTCTTAAACCACAGTCTGTCATTCTTTGCATCTTTCAAGGCTTCCAGTGTGGTCTCGTAGAAATTCTGTAGCAACTCCATTTGCTTTGAAGTCGAAATGTAATCCAGGATGGAATTAATAGACTTTTCAGAGTGGTTCCTTGTGACAGCACTCTTTATGTATGTGAGCAACTGCTGATAGCGGGTCATCATCTCATCATAATGGCCCAGCTTGAAGTTGATCTTGATCATTTGTTTCAGTGCTTTGAATCCCCATTCACCTTTTTCTGTTTCAAGATCCAAAACCTTCTGAAAGCTTTGCAATGAGGCATTAGGATCATCTTCTTTCAAGGCTTTTGAATTGTAGTACTGGTTTTCCAAATCCACATCAGGCTCGGAGGCACTGTCTTCAGAGTACTCCAGGTCATAATCTTCATCATCATCACACATGAAATCATCATCCATGTCCGACATTTCCAAGAAGCACTGCAGCAAAACCATAACTCATAGTAAGTAAACATCTTCACATCATGGCTTGGGATTGGTGTGAAAGCAACCTTTATGATAACAGACCTATCTAGTCCCTGTTTTTAAGCTTTTTGGGGCTAAAAATTTCTAGCAAATGCTTTCTTGAATCATTTATTCATCTTTTAAAGAACACAAGAAATCATCATCCATGTCTGACACTTCCAAGGAGCACTGCAGCAAAACCATAACTCATAGTAAGTAAACATCTTCACATCATGGCTTGGGATTGGTGTGAAAGCAACCTTTATGATAACAGACCTATCTAGTCCCTGTTTTTAAGCTTTTTGGGGCTAAAAATTTCTAGCAAATGCTTTCTTGAATCATTTATTCATCTTTTGAAGAAGCACAATTCAGGGCGTGAAATTAACTTTTTTTTCTGAAAGCCACTTGGCTCCTAAATTCTTCAAAGTGGTAGCCAATTCAAAAAAAGTTGGTCGCCATTTTCAAAGACAAACAAAATCTTTCTTTACGCTGTCAGCGTTCTAGATAGACCCTCCAAAATTAAGTTAGGGAAAAGATCTTTAACGTGCTACAAAGTGGACACTAGGATGTATGATATACAAAGTTCAGGCTCATCTAAATCCAAGATGGTGTCTAGTTATCGATCAAGATGCATGTGCTATGTTTTGGAAACAAACTTAACGAGGAAGTTTGCCGCGGATTTATCTTTGCAAATTTATTTAATTCACTATATCTCTTAGTGAGGTTATGATGAAATGTTGTAGTCGCCAATTTGGCAACTAACTTTCAGGATTTGGTTGCCAAAGTGAAA